CCCGTCCAGTCTCTCCCGGCGCTCTCCGCGGGAGCCGCGCTGCCTCACAGTCGGTTTTCAGGAGCTGTTCTCAAGGCAGAAGCAGCCCATTTTGACGAAAGCAGCCACGAAGCGCGGCTGACAATGCGCGCGCTTGACCCAGTCCCATCATCTTCAGATATCTGGGACGAGATTCACGGTTCTCGTGCGCTGCGCAGCACAGCGCGTGAGCACCGCCGTCCGCCCGGCGTCAGCCCCGGCGCCGGCCCCGCGCGTGCTCGCCGACGTGGTCGCCGGCGCTAACGTCTGCACACCGAGTCCGCAGGGGCTTTCTTCCAGAAATGCAAGTGTTCACATCCGTTACTTTTGTGAACACTGAGATTGATATAAAAGGTCATTTTTCGTTACAAATCGTTTCACTCGGGGAAACACTGACGGCTTGAATTTGTTCCTTCTCCTCTCACGCCAGGTCACACCTAGAGCGATGAGAGGAATTTACAGATTACAGCCTGGCCTGGTATTTAGTCAACAGATTCTCATCCCACGCAAGTCACTTCGTTTAAAAGACTGTAAACAGGGACTGTGGTTTTAGGGCAAAGACAACCATCACTCCAGAGTGGCTGTATCCTGAGGAGAATCTACCAAACTCGCTCTCAGACCGTCCTCAGTTCTAAAGAGGGAACAGCAAACTCTGCAGACATGACAGGCTGGACACACTCTCTTCGAAAGACCAAGGAATTTTGAAAGTATGTCTCAGGCCGCAACACTTGGAACAACTACGTTACTTCTAATTATTAAAATCCGTTCTAATTAAATAGAGCCTCTCCTGAAATGCTCAGTAACAACACAGCCATGGCAGCACTGTAATTATTTTCGTGAGAGTCTCAAAGAGAAACAGGCTTAAGAGATGTGGGCTCCTCGTATGGGCTTTTCGCAGTATTGGACCCAGCCTGCCCATGCGTGCCTGGAGACGCAACTTCGAGCTCCAGCCTGTTGGGGAGGAGGTGTCCTGATTAGGAAGGGCTGGTAGAAGCGGTCAGAAGTAGTCAGGGTTGGTGGTTCAGGTCAGGAAGCCTGGCCGCTACTACGGGAAGTGCTTCGACGTCCGAGCAGGATCAGTCTTGAATCCTAACTGTGTGGCACAAACTACAAGGCGAATTAAAAGTCTGGAATTAAAGGTGCAATTCAAACCTCTAGCACAAATCACCAAAACACAAAAATAGACAGTAGGCAAGCTGGTGCTGGTATCGGCTCAGAGCATGGGGAGTAAATATCAAGTATTGTAGTTTTTCAGTTCAGGAAAGTCCCATCCTGACCAGAAGGGTCAAAAAATCACAACTCCCGTGAGATGAGAGGACAGTTGTGCTGGAGGCCTTGCCACTCAGAGCTTTAGAAGATCCATTTTGCATTGTGCATCAATGGGCAGTGAATAAAATTGATAAGGATATACAAACCAGAAAGTTTCCTGAACACAGAGTGGTCCATTTTTGCTACGTGCAAGGGATTATCGTGCTTTTGCAGTTGGAGAGAATGAAGAGGAATAGTAAAGGTCACTTCAGAGTTTTGTTTCTATTGAACTGAGATTTCTCCTATTTTTATATTTTGCTACCAGCAATTATGATTTAATATTTTTATTACATCAAAACCCATAGATTCATTATATCGATATTCATAGTCACCCAATGCAAAACACAAGCTTTTAAAGCCATCACTTCCAGGAACATGTCTGGCTTTCAGCGTTTGAGAAGAGAACCTGACCCTTTAAGTGCCACAAATCCCTACAGATGAATGTGAATTTGCATAATTAACACAAAAGTAGAAGGCGCTGTTTTTAGTAGATACATAACTGGAAAAACAAACAAACAAAAGAACCCAAATCAAAAATCAGAAAAAGTATAACATTTAAATAAAGTTTCAGAGCTTTCAGTGAACTTTTCTCGGGTTCATCATGACTTCATGTTGTGCTGGACAGAAAAACCCTAATCGACTACTGCTGGATAAGAATCAGCTCACCCAAGGAGAGCAAGCGCACGCAAATGCTCTGTCTGGTACAATAACTGATAAACTGACGTCACTATTAAAAGACAAATAATGCTGACCACACAGCAACCTGGCAGCTGTTTCAGGAGGCAGCTGGGATGTCTGGTCCAGCAAACTAGTGAGACAAACAAATTTTGGTGGGACTTCAAACAAGATGCATGTGGTTCTGACACGGGTTTAGGTTTATTTTGTTTTTTTGAGAGATCTGACTCCAAACATTGCAGTTATGAAATGTGAAAAGTAATTCTTGGGAATCCCAAATGAAGAGAGAAAAAATGCTCGAGTTCTATAAGTAAACAGTAACATGTTCGCTAGCAAATAGCTGGCCTATTGATTGCAGGCTTTTATGTCAAACAAGAACACTGACAGATATGTAAAACATTAACTAATAGCAAGACGTTGAAATAGTTTATATCCAAGCTTAGGGTGAAATGGTTTCATTATCATTTAAAATGTATGCATATATAAGCACAATTTTTTTTTACTTTTTATTAAAATATTTTATTCTGAAATATATATATATAAAATAATTTTTAATATATTTTTAATGCATTTTAAAATAATTTTTAAAAAACTTGAGACTTCTGAGATTTTCACGATAGCCTTAAAAAGTACTTCTCTCCCCGGTAACCTACATCCATTAGGTCTACTGACTTCAGATCTGACATTCTGCTATATATAATATGAAGTATGCACTCCAGATTCTCACAGCAGTAGTGCTACGTAACAGCACCACTGAGGAGACGGAGAATCCTTTGTGTTTCCAGTTAAGAAGGTTAAGGACTAATCCCACTGAAAAAATATGCCCATCTAAGCGATATACTGCCTCGTCAATTTTGCTTTAAATGATTATTTGTGACGTAATTCATACTTTAAAAGCAAATACTAGTGGTATTTAACATAAAAAGTACTTATGCCACCTGTTTACATAAAACTGTTTTAGGTGCTTCATAGTATTTTTAGGGATAAATAATAGATTCATAATGCCTAACCTCACAAATCCCAACACTTTTGTATTTATAATTTTATCCACCATTTCACAGTGATTAGCTTTAGGGTTTTAGTTTTAAAAAGGAAAAACGTAGTATTTTAATACTGAAGAAACTGATTGCATGTAGCTGTTCAATCAAACCAAATTCACAAGCCAAATTCACGCAATTGACCTCAAATGTTCGGGAGAATATCTAAAAAATTGCATAAACGTATTACCTGCTATTATTCTGAAGTGACAAAATCTGTATAAATAATGTACTTGCATTGTGCAATTACTTGTGCAATATTGCAATAGCTAAGGTAATCTCATGCTGTTTGCTCAGTAGAAAATTTCCATTTGAGGATTCATGAGTTTCTTCGTAACTGTCAAGCAGCTGGAGTCAGGAACTTCTACAGCTCTTCTGTGTTCCAGAACTCTCACCACAGATGCCAGAGTGAAAAGAAAGTTACTCAGTATTTTTTTTACTCCCAGTTCAGCCCAAATCAACTTGCCTAATTCCTGAATGTGGAAAATAACTTCCGTTACTCCATCATCCTCTGCAAATGGAATACACGTTGCTAAGAAAAGAGTCCATATCAAACAGGTTAAAA